CTTCTCCAATTTTCCTAAAGTCACAAAGCTGGGAAATAGTAGAGCCAGACATGTACCGAGTCAGTCTGTTCTGCAGTTCATACCCTTAATCATTACAACACAGTCTTTAAATAATTCCATAATATGAAATATAAATTATGATAAATCATACCTCGTTTGATTCCTCATTCAATTTCTTTACCAATAAAAGGCAAGTATTCATTGCTTATTAATAATGTAAAGGAGTCAGTCTTCTCAGAGAGTAAATGTTTTCTCGATAACTTTTCAGTGTGGTTGTGTGAGACCAACTTAACTGATCTTTACCATTTCTGTTGATTGTTGTGCAGCATTTGAAATATCAGAACAAAACTAAAATACCTTTTAAAATTATTTCAAGAGGAATGTGAGAAGTACTTTTGAAATGAGTTATTCTGCTTGACTCTATATAGCAGTGGGCGAATGTTACAGGGTGACCCCAAAGGGAACTGAAAAAAAAAAACCTCAGAACAAGACCCAAGGACAGGCACACAAGGAAAGGCTAGTAAAAGATTTATTTATTTGTACAAGATTTATTTTAAAAATAATTTATAAAAGATTTATTTATTTTTATTTATTTATTTATATTTATCTTTTATATAAATAAAAGATTTATTTATTTATACAAGCACTGGGTACAGTCAGAAACGCGGGAGGGTGAGAGAATTCACCAGAGCCAGAGTGGGGAAGAGAACAGGCAGACTGATGAAAAATACACTGCTGAGGGGAGCAGCGGGCAGCAGGAGAGGTCTGCGCGCCATGTGGGACCCTCGCCCAGTGGCCGGGGATTGAACCAGCGCTGCAGAGGCTGCGGGCAGCTTTGCAACCCAGCACTCAACCGCTGCGCCACCGGGGAGGCCCAGATAGAGAGAAATTAATTGCTCAATATGACCTAATGGTAATGCTGCCTGAGCTGGGACCCTAGGTACACACTGAGGCAAAACCAAGTTACCTCCAGGCGTATATGTGTCCAGGTTTATACTAAGCAGCCATGCTTGGTATAACAACTCCACCCTCAGTTTCCAGCAATTCCCCCTTCAAGAAGACAAGCATCATGGCAGATTCATGGCTGTAGGGTGATTATCAGGCTTTTCTGCCCTCCTGCCATTAGCATTGATGATAGATCCCTGCGGTCCTGAATGCATGCCTGATGCGGGCACCTGGAGTGGGGTATGGGCATATGTAGGTGGATCCACCTGGGCTGAGACTGGGTTTATAAGGGCAACGTCATGGGGAACCATCAGAAGAGAACAAGAGCAGCAGAATGAAAGAGAAAGCAGAACGATAGGAGAACAAGTGAGAGAGCCAAAGAGAAAGAGTAGCAGTGGTAGAAGAAACGAGCAGAGAAGAGAACGGAACCAGCAGAAGAGAGAGAACAAGGCCATGAGAGAATACCAGAAAGCCCAGAAAGAGTGAAGATTCACCAGAGGCCTGGAGGCCTGCCAGCCCCCTGCACCCCTGCCTGCCGTGTGCCTGGTAAAATCCCAATAAAAGCCTGAAAAAGCCACTGAGGGCTCCAGGACTCTCTCCTCTACCCATCTGCTCAGATCATAGAGAACCTGCTCTATGACCTTTCTGCCACTACAGTGGCAATTTTGGGAACTCAGTGCCTGGGATCTCTTTGGCATGGAGGTGGGAGTGGGTCCATAAAACATCAGTGGGTGGAATTCATTCAGAACATACTGTTCACCCAACACAAAGAAGGATGTGATTTGGGATACTTTGGAAAGGAAGTCACAATCCAGGTATACTCCTAGGATTTGAAAATATCTACTTAGCCCTTTATCCTTTGAGTTTCACCCTAAATATTCTGTTAACACTTTTTCCTTCCTGAGTAATTTTCAATGACTGTCCCAATGATCCCAACTAAGTCGCTGGTTAATCTCATCTCTAAACCCTAACATTTGACCTAGCATTTTCCTCAGGTAGCTCTCAAGATGCTATTTAAATACAAATTACTTCTCATAGAGCCCTGTTAAGGAGGACCCCTCTGAGACAAGAGGATTCACTTAGGGTAAATGAAAGAAAATAGCATGGTATTGGGGAAAATTGAAACTCCTCCTCCCTGCCTGGAAGCGTTGCTGCTCCAGTGAATGTTTTATTTGGTCCTGCTTGTCATTTCCCTTCTTGTCATTCTTGTGTTTCCTGTGCCTGTCTGCATTGAGGGTATTTGGGTTGAATCTGATGAGGGATGAGTGAGGAGTCTTTTACCCCTTTTAAAATTAATTCAGCAAAGTCACATTAACTCACATGGTGAGTTCATTAAGAAAAACAAGATACTTGCATAGACACAAGCAGGCAAAGACTGTGTTTTTGAAAGGGCAGGGTAGCATTATGTATTGTTCTCAGTGGAATTTCTTGCTTTGTGGAATTTCTCATTTCAGACTTAGGTTGGTTTGCCATAAAGATTGTTAGTCCTCACTACTCCCCTACTTGCAAGTTCCTGGTCTTGTGAAATTTGCATAGCTGGTTTTAATGATTATATTAATCATCCCTATGCCCACCTCCCGCTCAAAGGTTTGTTTCTGATGCCAATATCAGCTTCAGAGGGACACAGAGACTTCTATTAGAAATGTAACTTAATTTCTCTATTTCTTTAAGCCTAAATTTTTCAAATTCCCAGGAATACATTTGGAGCCAGTTAATCTCTAGAAGATACAGGGAGTGCAATTCATTGAGTTAACACTTAATCCTAAAAAGTGAATACAATCTGGTGGTTAGGGTTTAAATCTGCTTATTCCTAAATTTTTTAGCCTAGAGGAGTTTTTGTTGATGTTGCAAACTGGAAGGGATCGTACAGGAAGGGATAAAATTAAGTTTCTTTATTCTTAGTTTTCTTCCTTCTTCCCCACATCCCATTCTACCAACAACACTCTAAAAAACGTCCTTAACCAGAATGTTCACTTATGGCAAAACTTGCTGCTATAAAATAAACAGAATTTCAATGGTTATTTTAAATGCATTTACATAATTAATCCCATAAAATGTTTTTCTGACTTCCCATGGTTTCAGGGAAGAAGAATCTCTAGTATAGACTTTATAAAAGTTAATGAGACCCTTTCCCTCCCTTTCCCTTTCTGTCTGTACAAGCACACACTATTTTCCAATCCATTTTGCTGCAAATTCCCTAAGGAGACTCAAAGAATTCCAAACTCAAATATTGTTAGAACTCAAATAATTTCAACACTTAAAGGTGGGTAAGTGTCTAATCACCTCAGGGATGTTCACGTTCAATAAGGATTTTTAGAGCCAAGAAAAAATAAGCCCAAATACAGCTCTAAGATATAGCGCCATCTACTACTCTAACTCATTGGTGATAGAATTGTTATTTTGTCAAATCCTGCTGCAACTTGACCCTTCTCAGTAGGAATCTGGTGATTAATAATGCCCTTAATCGCTTTACCGCCTGCCCTCACAGCTGGTAAGAGAAGTGATATATATCACAAAGAAAGGCTGAACAGCTGAACCCAGTTTTAAGGACAGAAAGGAAGTCGGGATGTATCCCTGCCAGGCTCTATCTTCTTCCTACACCAGGGAAGACTGTAATACTTCTCCCTTGTTAAGAGCAACTCAGCCCGGGTGCACTGGGTAGTTTTGGGTCTCCATCCTGATTACTGCTTTAGCTCATGACTGACAGGGAAGACTTTTCTAGAGTCTCGGGCTTTGGTGGAAGCTTTTCCCATTTGCCACACAGATCTAAAGGGATATGAGTTACTGAACCAAAGAACTGGCTTTCCCTCCTCCCTCCTGATATTTTGGTTGATGCAAGAGCTCAGAAATTCAAAATGTCATGGGGAACCATGACATTTCCCCATTCAGTGAATCAACTGTGATTGTTCAATGGGCACTAAGACCATAGGGACTGTTAACTGGAAATAAAGTCTCAATGATAGTTAGGCGAAGAGTTTATTAGTTAATTAAAGATTTTAACCTGGGAATCAGTCTGACAGATTTTATTCTGTGATAACTCTTCCAATAAACACAAGTTTGAATTTAGTGTATAAAGGTAGGGACAGTGAGGCATTGACATCAATAAGAATGTAATTACTCTTGACAGGAGGGGTTTTCAGTTCTAAATGGACCTAAAGATATGCTGATGACAGAGAAAGGCAATGAAGTATTTAATCTCTTCTTTTTAAAGAATGTACTGCAGAGATACAAAGCCTGGGTACCCATTGTTAAATCTTCTGTATCTGGCTTCTTGGTCATCAGTGGATGTGAAAAGACTTGTTTTGCTTCAGGCAACAGATTTCTACAAGGCTACAGGGTGGAACCCGTTTAGATTTGTGGAGATGGCTTTGCTTTCTTGCCTTCTAGAGTAGGGAGGGGGAGTGAGTCCCAGAAATTTTTTCAATATGTTGGCAGGACGGTGTCCTGACTCAGTACATATGATAAAATCTAATCAAATGGGAAAGCACTGGGAAGAAGACACAGTTATAATGGGCAGTGAACTTGACTTTGATTTAGCAAGTGATCTTTGTATCACTTGAGATAATTGAGTAACATTACAAAAAGACAGATTGAATTCATATAAGTAGGTTCCCTACACTTGTGAAATCCATTTCCAATAACTTTATTCTTTTGCTTTTAATACTGACTCTTTTGGAAAACTGGTGTGGGTAGTGAGGGTAGAGCAAAATTTGTCAGCCTCAAGTAGCAGATTGCCTTCAAATAAATAAAAAAATAAATAAAGGCAAAGGAACTCTTACCAAAAAAAAAATCTGCAAGACCTATTGGTTGTAAAATGTATTGAAGGGAATCAAAGTATGCCACCCCAAAATATACCACTTTGGCATAAGGATTATTTTGAGCTGAAGACAGAGAAATAGCAGACACAGGAGATACTCTTCTGTCCTTTTCCTGACTAAAAGCAGGAATAAATTTCCTAAGGAAATACTGATTGGTAAAAGTAACTACCTCTTCCATACAGAAAGAGAACAACTCTTATTGTTACAGGGCAGGGAGAAGGTCAGCCCAGACCCCGCAAACCTGCCTACTCTAAATGGGTTCTGCCATCCACCGCATCAACACAAAACATATGAGACTTTAATGGGAAGGAAATTTAATACAATTAGGAAACAATACAGGAAAAGCCAAGAATCTAGTTTCTAAATCAAGCACCCAAACTTACCCGTCCCCTTGTGGGTAAAAATCCATCCAAATGGGATTGGCCCAGAGCAAGGCCCCAAAGCCTGCCACAAGTCTAAAGCATCTTAGAGTGGGGACCCACAGAAAAGGATCAGAAACAACCAGACAAGTCTGGAGGGAAAAGAGCAAAATCAAAATCAAGACAAAAACCACCACTGTCACCTCCCCTCAGGTCTCTCACCCACATCTGTGTCACCCAGTCCACGACCAAAAGGCAAGCGCAGTTTCTTCATGTGTCTCTCGGTTCCATGTGCCTCCTCCAGGTCTCCTGGCTCTCCATCCTGCTTCCTTCCTTCCTCAGTCTCCTCTGCAGCTTCTTCTCCTCCCTGCTCAGTTCCACTCTCCTTTTGGGTGGGGCAGGAAACCTGGAATCTCCCCCGTTTCTGGGGACCACCCTATTACATTATCACTGGAGATAACAAGATAAGTCCTCATAAACAACCTTAGCTACCATTAGTTTATATGTTAGTATGCAGACTGAGGGGTAGCCCCAGGAACCCAAACCTGCATGCTCTAAATAGGTTCTGCCATCTGCCACATAAAGACAACATATTCTCTTAGTGTGAAAGAACTTTAATAGGATTAGTGTGCATAAAGATTTTTCCAATAAAATCTCCCAGGTTACCCACCCCCTTATGAATAAATGCCCAGTGCAGGATAAATGAAGATTGCTCAGGCTTTTGTGCCACTGGTCTCTGTGGCTATCAGCTGTGGCCTTGAATGCAGGAGTTGCTTGGGATCATGGGCTTGGGGTATGCATACCTGATGGTGGACACCTGGAGTATGGTGTGATGAGCTGAGAGACTGAGCATATAGAGGCGGTGTCACACAGAGGATGGTGTGCGGCAGAGGACCATGTGTGGGAGTGCAGTGGAGAGCAGTGGAGAGCAGCAGAGAAAGGTTACAGAGGAAAGAGCATATAGAGATTTGCAAGGGGGCTCAAGTTACTATGTCCCTACTGGCTTGTTTCCCCTGCATACTATTAGAAAACCTGTGGGGATGATGCCAAGGACAACAAGGTTCTCTTTCAAGCTGACTGAACTGATGGTGAACCTACCTGGCCTGGGAGGGTTGCAGAACACCCAGCCAAACAGGGTTGGCCCAAAGTGAGGGCACTTGCCTTGCCACAAATCTAAGGCACTTTCTGGCAGGGAACCAGATAAGGAAAGGAGCAGAAAGAGCCAGCATGTCTGGAATGAAAGGAACAAAATAAAAATTCAAATCAAGTTAAAGACTGCCATTGTCAGCCTCCCTACAGGTCTCTCCCCTAAGTCTATTCAAGTGTCATTATATATCTCAAATCCACGTGTCTCCTTCCATGTACTCCAAGTCCTAGGTGCAAGTCCAGAGTCAAGAAACAAGTAGGACTTCTTCACATGTCTCTGCTCTATGTGCCTCCTCAAAGTCTCCAAGACGCTACTCCCAGTCTTCTCTAGTTTCTCCTCCCCACTCAATTTCAACCTTCATCAGGCAGGGAACATGGAACCTCTCATTTTTATGAACATTACACATATATTTCCTAGTCACCTTTCCACAATGTATCCCCTAAGAAACTATCTTCCTTTGTTTAGTTACTTTTCCACAATTTATCACCTTTTGTTAAAATGGTATGTAAGTCTCCAGGTCTAGCAAACCTTTGGATTTTTCATTTATTTTCTGTGAAGCCCCTGTACATATGAAAATACTTTATCAAAATACTGTATCAATCAAGGTTTGTATATCTTTTCTCCTATAAAACTGTCTTTGGTCAGTTAAATTCATAGATACCCCCTCCCAGTTACTGAACCTAAAAGAATAGAAGAAAAGTTATTTTTCCTCCCCTACAGTTTCAGTGATATATTGAATACCATTTGTCATCTAGTCTTACATCCTCTTTTATGTGGATTTCACTTAAATTTAATAGGAGAAATTTACAATAAAAATAGGTGTTTTGGGTCTTTTTCAGTCTGTTGATAATAATATTATCTTCCAGAAGTGCCTGGGCACTTACCTTGACCACAATGAGTTTGCCATGGACATATGCCCTTTTAAACCAATATTAAGACTTAACCAGTCCTTTGGGGTTTTATTATGGTTGCAAAATGCCCTTCAGCAATAACCATCAAAAAAAATTTTAAATAGATGTTTAGTACTTATAAGGCCTAGAAATTTTTCAGAACATCTGGTTCACAATGAGGTTACAGGTAGAGAAAAAAGAAAGAACAGATGGGCCTGATTTTATTGGAACTGAGCATGGAGTATATAGGGTTTCTACAGGCTAACTTTTTAATTGATGGATTTAAATCATAAATAGTAGGAATTTAAAGCTCAGGAAGAGAGACAAGACAAAAGAAGGAAAAAACAAGCCATACCAACTGACCAACTATCTAACTTAACCAGGATCTGCAAAACAAAGGAGTCTTATGGGAGGAATAAGGGGGAGCAGAAAGCCTAGTTCTTTCTTTAGTAGTGTGGTTGGCAATATGTTTGTGGTATCCCTAAAGCAAGCCAAATTTGAAGTGGATGCCTCAACATCAGAGCTTAAGTCCGGGCACTTGCATTCCAAGAAAAAAAAGTCAGCTACTAGGCTTTACACCACAGGAGGTACACCATAAGATCATTCAACTTTAAAACATCTCCATTTGATATTTCAGTTCCCTTAAATTCCCTTTTTCCAGCCAATTATCTCTGGGTCATCTTCCTCTAACTTCCTCTAACTTCAGGCATTCCTCCATAATTCTGCAAAACTATACAATAGAACTATAGCTTCTACCACTTAATCTGCATATTCAAATACATCTTAGATTTTGCTGAGCAGAGTCTTCTGGTTAATAGAAACTCTCTATTTGGAAAATAATTGTCCACCATTTTTATAACTTGCATAAGTTTTCCAAGTTAAAATAAAAAAATGCCATCTGGATATGCCCAAGTTTCTATTGTATGTGACTCCTGAGGAGAGGCAGGAAGAAAAGTATAGAGATGGGAAGGAAGCAAAATCCTTCCCTAAAGATTGGTCCAATTATCAAAATCTTATCATTATCACTGAATTTTCTTAGGATTCTTAGTTTTAAACTTTCCAAAGTTATATCTCTCTAATAAAATTGAGAAAAATAAAATACATTTTCTATAACAATAGAAAGAGGTCTAAATCTACACTTTGACTGCATTGAGAGTCTTTTTCTGTAATGATCCAAAAATTTCATTTTACTAATTGAATAGTTTAAATATATAAATATGAAAGTATTATTTTTCAAGATGTTAAGTTTGCATGGGCCACTGTCTCCCAATCCCAAAATCAACCCTATGAAAAAAAGAGAAAAGCATAGTGATAGAAAAGTCACTAGTCTTTTCTTGCATACTTAGAAGAGTAAAAAAAAAATGGAACATGTGCTAGACCATTTAAAATAATACATTTTAAATAATAAATATTTTATAAATTCAACTTTCTAACCATAATCCAATAAATTTTAAATCTGTAAGAACAGAATGAACTTTTTTTAAATTCCATATGCTTAGTCTACGATTTTTTAAATAGCTCTAGCTAAAACAGTAATAAAGAAATATTTAGAAGTGAAAGATAACAAAGACACTACATGACCAAACCTAGTCAATGCAGTTAACCATACCTGAAGAAAGTTAATACCACTAAATATATTTTATACAAAATAAATATCAAATAGATGAAGTAAAGATTACCTCAAAAAATTGAGCATTACAAAGCAAAACCAAAAAGAAAAGAAGGAAGTTGAAGGATGGAGGGGAAATTTTCTCTTCCCAGTCCAGAAATCAATATAAGATTATTAAGAAAAAAAAGAGCAAGTTTACTGATATGTCTATGGAATTTAGCTGTAAATTTTATAGTAAATAAATAGACTAAGAGTTTCTTTTTCTTGAGATAATGAGTATTTTTTTTTCTGAGAAACCAAGGAGAGAAGAGAGAAGACTCACATGGTAAGGAAAGGGTGACTAACGTGACAAACAGTTGTCTTCCATATGACATGTTTCTCCAATACAAAGATTATTTCTAGAGATGAACTCTACAAATCTGGGTAATCTTCATTCTTTTGCATAGTTAAGGTAATGGTAGCAGTTTCTTTTGAAGCCTGCAGTTCCTCAATTGACCTTGCTTACACACCAAGGTCATATGAGAAAATACCTGCTCTAGACATCTTAGGGAGTCCTATCTGAACATTTAGAGGAACGTTATCCTTTGAGAAAATAGTTAAGATAGCAGATAATTTCAGGAAAAAAGATGAAAAATTAACCAGTAAAAAAAATAATTTTTAGAACATTAATAGGGTTTATTAATGTTTATTAATTAATTAATTAATAGGGTTTATTAATTAATAGGGTTTATTAATTAACTAATCAGAAAGAAAAATGGATAAAATTTGCATTCTATAATTAAAAATAAAGTATCAGCAAATGAATTAAGGAAGCAATATTATTTACAATTGCATCAAAAATAATAAAATACCTAGGAATAAATTTAACCAAATGGTGAAAGAAATGAAAACTATGAGAAACTGATGAAAGAAACTTAAGAAGATATAAGTGGAAAGATAGCCTATGCTCACATATTGGAAGAAGTAATGTTGTGGAAATGTTGCAATCCACAGATTCAGTACAATTCTCAAAATTCCAATGCATTTTTTCTCAAAAATAGAATAATCCTAAAATTTGTGTGCCAATTCTAAACTTTGTGTGCCAAGTGAAATATGTCAGACAGAGAAAGACCAATACTGTACGATCTCATTTCCATGTGAAACCAAAATGGAAAACAAACCTTAGCTAACCTAGAATTGCTTGGAAGTAGAGGAATTGGTGAAATGGTTGAGTTGGTCAAAAGATATTTTTTTAATTATACCATTCAGCAGAACAACAAAACTGTAAATATCTACTACCTCACTAAACAGGGATACACAAGAAATTTATTGAGAAAATCTTAAAATTTGCATAAAAACTAAATAATATACAGCATTGTAAACCAATGATGCTTGAATTTAAAAAATTCTAATAAAAAATAGAAGATTCACTGCATAAATAAAAGTTACTTCACTATAATTCAATGTGAAAACATTTTATCATAAACATATCATTAATAACCAAGGAGTAAATAAAATTAATACAATCCTAATGAAAATTCCAACTGTTTTTAGAAACTTATTAAACTTACTCATTTGTATAAAAAATTAAAGCTAATTCAACCCAGTAGCAAATATTAAAAAGGACATGGAACAACTTAAATATCATGTATTGCTGAGAGAACTGTAAAATGATACAAACATTTTGGAAAATAGTTTGTCAGTTTCTTATAAAGTTAAACATAATACCTATCCTATAACTGACCAATTCCACTCCTAGGTATTTACTTAAAAGAACTGAAACACGTGCCTCCCTGGTGGCACAGGGGTTAAAGACAGTGATATCAAGCTGTCGCCAGTCACTGCAGCAATAGTTTGAATCCTGTCTGGCCAGGGAGCAACCCACATGGCACAGCACACCTCTCCTGCTTCACCCACTGCTCCCCTCAGCAGTGTATTTCAGTGTTATGTTCCCCACTGTCTCTGGTGAATCCTCCCATACCCCACACCTCTGGCTTACACCCCATTTCTTGTATGTATAAATAAATCTTAAAAAAAAAAAAAGAGGGTCTCCCTGGTGGCGCAAGGGGTTAAGATGCAACCTATGAAGCTACCCGCAGCCACTGCAGCACGAGTTCGATCCCTGGCCAGGGAGAAACCCACATGGCGAAGCAGACCTCTCCTGTCTTGCCTGCTGTTCCCCTCAGCAGTGTGTTTCAGTTAGTCTGCCTGTTCTATTCCTCACTCTGTCTCTGATGAATCCTCTCACCCCCCACACACACCTCTGGCCTGTACCCCAGTTCTTGTATGCATAAATAAATAAATTTAAAAAAAAAAAAAGAACTGAAAGACGTCCACAAAAAGACTGGTACAGGAAATGTTTATAACAATACTTTCTGCAATAAACCATGCCTCCTTGATTGTCATCTTGTTATGTCATCCGTGCTGACCAGAAATATTCTCTCTCTTGATTGGGATGACAGTTGTAGGCATCTGTCAAAATTCATTGAAATGGGCACTTAAGATCTATACATCTAACTGAATGTAAAAAATAATCTCAAAAATACATGTTGAGATGAATCCACAAAAGATGGCAGAATCGACAAGACCAATAAGAGCTCTGAACT